CTATGGCCGGAGCGGCACCACCTTCCCAGGCCCGTGAAAACGGGATACATGACGACAGGAAGCGTGGGAAGGTGGGGCAATGCCGTCGGGGACGTCCGATATAGAATTCCCTTTCCTCTACTCGGTGTCGCCGCTTGTGGCATTTGTCCTCGTCTGTGTATGTCCGTCCCAGTCCACGTTAAAAAAAAAAAATCTAAAATCTAAAAACCGTTCGCCTTCGAGCCGAATCGACGATGCTGCCACCTAGCGGAGCAACGGCATCGATTAACGCAGAAACGAATTTCGCGTGTGCAACCGGTCGGTCGCGGGAGGCCGACAACTCACCATCGGCAATAAAGGACTCGAAGGACAAATAAAGGACTCGAAGACGCAATTCTGAAGCTCGAGGATCCTCACGAACGTAAAGAAGATGAAAAGATTTTTATATAATTTTTCCTGTACTCATGAACAACAAGTGAACAAATCGATGAACAATAACAATAACATGTAGATATCATTGCTCGAAGCGTCATTTGTCGGCCCGATATCCGAATGGAAAATTTGAGGAGTATGCTTATTAAGCTGGAGAACGCTTATTAAGCTGAAAAATGCTTATTAAGCTGGAATACGCTTGTTAAGCTGGAAAATGCTTATTAAGCTGGAATATGCTTTATGAGCCGACCGTGAAGGAATCGATGCTTCTTTGAAAGGCCCCGACGAGCCGAAACCAGGTGGATAAACGTCGGAATTTGAAATCGCGATCGCTTGGCTCCGCGCGGTCCGGCGATCTGGCTTCCTGATACGGCCGGGTCGGACGCAGTACCGCCACGTGGGTACTGGCAGGTGCACCCGAAAAACCAGAGGCGATACGAATCTCTTCCTCGTGGAAGTCCTCTCGTGAATAAAATATTTCTGTCGAGTTTTCTTGCGGATTTCCATTTGTTGCGATTTTTTTCGTGATTTCGGAGGGACACTAGTAATAGGTCCTCGTACGGGAAAATTGTTGATGGAATGCTTGAAAACGGCCAGATTAACTAATTAGGCGGGATTGAAGCTTCACCGGCCGACGACTGGAGACCGGCCAGAAACCGGGGTGCTTACTCTATCTGTATCGGTAAGAAAAGGGTATATTGCCAAGTTTTCATATCGGTTCAGCGATAGTTTTTGTACTATATAAAAAAAATGACCGAACTTTTTTTGCCCTTGCTCGACGAAAAAAAAAAATTCTCTTTTTATATTCTCATTAAAGAAGGAACGCCCTCGCAGAAAATTCACATTCGATTTGTAAGCAGAGGAGGAATCGACCCGACGATAACATATTAAGCACCTTGCCTCGCGAGGAAGGCCAGGAGATCATAAATTCATGTTAAACTTAACATTTCTCGTGATCCGAAACAGATGTTGATCACGTGACCTTGGGAGCCAAAAACGTGGAGCAGGAGGTCTGGACCGGACCGGATGATAAGTGACCGGGGCTTCCCGGAAGATGTCTTCCAGGTCGCAGTGTTGTCCGATATCGAAATGCGTTGGGTGTTGCACAAGTCAGGACAGGGTTGCCAACTGGACAGGGTTGCCAATCGGACAGGGTTGCCAATTGGACAGAGTTGCAGATCGGACAGTGTCGCTGGCCAAACTTGCGACATTCAAAATTCCGGAACACGACACCTCCACCTCGGAAATGGAATCGCCATTCGCACGTCCGCCGAAGCAGAAAAAAAAAAAAAACCCTTGGAA